ATTTACCCTTACAGAAATATTCCACTTTTTTATGCAGAAGTTTCTGCAATACAAGTTAATGTATGGCTGCTTCATAAAACATGAATATTTTATAATATGTTTACTAAGTTAGTTAATTCATTCTACTACATTGTTTGCAGAAATACTCATATTGTTCTAAAAACAGAACTGTATCTTGTTGCAAATTAAAATATTTAGTTTTGCAAATGGAAAATTTATGTTAGGAGAGATATTTATTTTGCTTAAAAGTACTTGCAACAGATAGATGTTTAATTTCTTATATGAAACAGTTTGAAAGATCAGAATTTTTTGCTACGTAAATACTTAATTGGACCTAAAGTCCCTGTAAATATTTGATTGGTTTACCTACCTAAAGCTTCTTAACTTGATTTCAGATTCAGGGAGCCTTTCTGTTAACTTTTAGCTTGTTTGAAATATACTATAATTATATATATACTGTAATTCCAACCTCAAATTGGTATTCTAAAGGATGCTAATGAACAAATAACTGATGCAGACAAGATCAAACAAAGATGGAAGAAATATACTGTGCTGACATTCTGCACAGTAGAGATGACAATACCCAAGATATTGCAGAAAATAATCCCTTTTTACAAGAACCTCTAAGGACTGGAAGGTGAAGCTAGATCAGCACCTCGGCCATTACCAGGTCAGAAGACTACACAAACTGAGTTACAGAAATATGGCAAGTAACAGAAAAAGAACTGAGTATGGTTCCAAGCAAACTATACCAGCAACTCTGGAGAATAACACTTTGGACAACAGTTTGCAAGAGGTCAGTTTATATACCAGTATCAAAGAGAAGAGACTTAACAGAGCATGCAAACTACTGCAGAATATCCTCAATTTCACATGCTAGCGAAATTATGCTTAGAATCATCCCAACATAGATTAGAGCCCTACATGGAAAAGAAATGCCAGACATTCAAGCTGATTTTAGGAAAGATCAAGGAACAAGAGACATTACTGTTGATGCATTCTGAATAATTGAGAAAATCAAAGAATACCAATAACAAAATCAATACATGTTTCATTGACTACAAAAAGACATTTGATTACATCAACTGTGTCAAGCTGTGGAATGTTCTTAGGAAAATCTGAATCCCAGAACATTTCATTGTCCTCGTATAAACCTATAAACAGGATAGGAAGGCACAGTACAGACAGAACATGATGGATCTGACTGGCTCTAGATTGGCAAAGGAGTGAGAAAAGGCTGTATAGTCTCTCCTTATTTATTCAACCTAGATGCTGAACATACATTGAGGGAGGATGGATTGGAAGATTAGCGTGGTTTTAAAATTGGAGGAATAACCTGCTCTGTGGTGATGATCATATTCTGATAGCTGAAAATGCAAATGGTCTACAAGCTCTAGTAATAAAAGTCAAGAAACACCATGAGAAAATGGGCCTGAGTTTAAATACAAATATAAAGAAGACCAAACTAAGGATAGCAGGGCCAGCAATCAGCCTTAGATTTTGACAATGAAGATATTGAAGTGGTGGATAGCTTCTGTCTAAAGGAACCAGTAGTCAAGAAATACACCATGGCTAACACTTGGTAAGGTAGCAGTGAAAGTCTTGGAAAAGATATTCCAATTCCGTGATGTATATCTGAGAATTGTGCACACAATGATTCTCCCTGTGACACTGCAGAAAAAAAAGTTGGACTTTAAAGAACCAGAATAGAAAGAGTATTGAAGCTTTTGAACTGTGGTGTTGGAGAAGACTCCTGATAGTAGTATGCGTAGCCAAGAAAACAAACAGATGAACTATAGAACAAATCAATCCAGAGTTCTCATTCAAGGCAGAAATGACCAAGCTCAGGTTATCATAATTTGGGCACATTATGCAAAGATGCAGCTCTCTTGAAGAGTCCATAATTCTGGGAAAAGTCTAAAGAAAAAGAGTAAAAGATGACGGCCAGCAAGGCGAAGGGACTTAATTACAATGGCAGTGGGTGCATCATCAGAAGATCTGAAGGGCCAGGATAGCAACAGATTATTCTAGTGAAGACCTATCATGTTGCTGAGGATCAACACTGACTTGATGGCAGATAATCACATAATTTGGGGGTGGCCATTTATCTATATGACTGCAAACTTTTAAACTATTGTACTCAGATTAATAAACCATCAGTGCTGAGCTAGCTTTTGGAAATTGGACCAAACAAAATGAATTTTATATTCATTTAAATTCTGTCATAATTGCTGAAATATTATTAAACTGTTTCTATAGTTTTTATTACAATATAGAATGCTGAAGCAAAATTGAAGGGTCTGTCTGATTGATAATGATTTTACTAATGCACTTCCTTTCCTAACTTCAGTTAGTAATGCTTCTTGGTAGATCTAATTGAATCCAAAAGCTCTATCTAATTTTCAGCATTGATCAAGTCAATAAGATTTTTTCATGAATAATTTCTGCTGCCCCTTTCTTTCAGAAACTCTAAGGCTCTTAATTACCTCTAGGTTATAATTAGCACATAAAGCATTCTCTATTTTTTTTCCCCATAAATCTGTTACTTGAATACTGGCAAGCAATTTGTAACATGTTTTGTTTGTTTTAAAAAAAACCTACTCATTAAAAATAATTCTAATGCAAGGGCAAGGGTAACTCAAGATAAAAACAATATAGCCGTATATAGTTACCAATAGTAACAGCTTAAAAGATTACAGCAAACTCAAACCAAGTTGCTCAAAATTTAAAAATGGATAAACAAGTCTTTAGTATGCCCACACTGCTATTTATGTAAAAGAAAAAGCAGTCCCTTGGTTAACTGGGTCCTATTACTAACTGTGGTAGTAATAACCTGAAACTGAATACACTTAAGACCGTGGAGATGATTGTGGACTTTA